TTGATCGAATTCTGATCGAAGTGCGGATGGGGGTGGTCCGGACCCCCCTGGGGGAAACGGCATGGTGGGATGTTAGAACATGTTAAATAAACACCATTTGCACAAAAAATTTTTGGGCGTAAGCCAATTATTTTTAAATATAATTTTTTTAGTCAGAACGCCATGTAAACCCACCCTAATCCTAAAAAAGTATGTTCGGGACCCCCCTCGAGCGAAGGACTATCATGGACTATTAGAACACGTTAAGTTGACTGGATATCAGTGAAAAAATTTTGGGCATAAAGCGATTTTGATAAATGACAGGTGTTCGATCGAATTCTGATCGAAGTGAGGATGAGGGTGTTCCGGACCCCCCTGGGGGAAACGGCTTGGTGGGATGTTAGAACATGTTAAATAAACGCAATTGGCACACAAAAATTTTTGTCGTAAGCCAATTTTTCTTAAATATATTTTTTTTAGTCAGAACGCCATGTAAACCCAGCCTAACTAACCCTAACAAAGTATGTTCCGGACCCCGCTCGGGCTTACGACTATCATGGGCTATTAGAACACGTTATGTTGACCGGATGTCAGTGAAAAAATTTTGGGCGTATGCCAATTTTTTTGAAATACAATTTTTTTAGTCAGAACGCCATGTAAACCCACCCTAATCCTAAAAAAGTATGTTCCGAACCCCGCTCGAGCAAACGACTATCATGGGCTATTAGAACACGTTGAGTTGACCGGATATCAGTGAAAAAATTTTGGGCGTAAAGCGATTTTGAAAAATGACAGGAGTTTGATCGAATTCTGATCGAAGTGCGGATGGGGGTGTTCCGGCCCCGCCTGGGGGAAACGGCTTGGTGGGATGTTAGAACATGTTAAATAGACACGATTCTCACAAAAAAATTTTGTGCGGAAGCCAATTTAAATGAAATATAATTTTTTTAGTGAGAACGCCATATAAACCCACCCTAATCCTAAAAAAGTATGTTCCGAACCCCGCTCGAGCAAACGACTATCATGGGCTGTTAGAACACGTTGAGTTGACCGGATATCAGTGAAAAAATTTTGGCCGTAAAGCGATTTTGAAAATGACAGGAGTTTGATCGAATTCTGATCGAAGTGCGGATGGTGGTGTTCAGGACCCCCTGGGGGAAACGGCATGGTGGGATGTTAGAACATGTTAAATAAACGCCATTTGCATGAAAATTTTTTGGGCGTAAGCCAATTATTTTTAAATATAATTTTTTAGTCAGAACGCCATGTAAACCCACTCTAACCCTAAAAAAGTATGTTCCGGACCCCGCTCGAGCGACCGACTGTCATGGGCTATTAGAACACGTTAAGTTGACCGGATATCAGTGAAAAAATTTTGGGCGTAAAGCGATTTTGAAAAATGACAGGTGTTTGATTGAATTCTGATCGGGGTGTTCCGGCTCCGCCTGGGGGAAACGGCTTGGTGGGATGTTAGAACATGTTAAATAGACACGATTCTCACAAAAACATTTTGTGCGGAAGCCAATTTTATTTAAAACATAATTTTTTTAGTGAGAACGCCATATAAACCCACCCTAACTCTAAACACGTATGTTCCGGACCCCGCTCAAGCAAACGACTATCATGGGCTATTAGAACACGTTAAGTTGACCAGATTTCCGCGTAAAAATTTTGAGCGTAAGCCAATTTTTTGAAATATAGTTTTTTTAGTCAGAACGCCATGTAAACACACCCTAACCCTAAAAAAGTATGTTCCGGACCCCGCTCTAGCGAAGGACTATCATGGACTATTAGAACACGTTAAGTTGACCGGATATCAGTGAAAAAATTTTGGGCATAAAGCGATTTTGATAAATGACAGGTGTTTGATCGAATTCTGATCGAAGTGCGGATGAGGGTGTTCCGGACCCCCCTGGGGGAAACGGCATGGTAGGATGTTAGAACATGTTAAATAAACACCATTTGCACAAAAAAATTTTGGGCGTAAGCCAATTATTTTTAAATATAATTTTTTTAGTCAGAACGCCATGTAAACCCACCCTAATCCTAAAAAAAGTATGTTCCGGACCCCGCTAGAGCAAACGACTATCATGGGCTATTAGAACACGTTAAGTTGACCAGATATCTGCGAAAAAATTTTGGGCGTAAGCCAATTTTTTTTAAATATAGTTTTTTTAGTCAGAACGCCATGTAAACCCACCCTAACCCTAAAAAAGTATGTTCCGGACCCCGCTCGAGCGAAGGACTATCATGGACTATTAGAACACGTTAAGTTGACCGGATATCAGTGAAAAAATTTTGGGCATAAAGCGATTTTGATAAATGACAGGTGTTTGATCGAATTCTGATCGAAGTGCGGATGAGGGTGTTCCGGACCCCCCTGGGAGAAACGGCATGGTGGGATGTTAGAACATGTTAAATAAACACCATGTGCACAAAAAATTTTTGGGCGTAAGCCAATTATTTTTAAATATAATTTTGTCAGTCAGAACGCCATGTAAACCCACCCTAACCCTAAAAAAGTATATTCCGGACCCCGCTCGAGCGACCGACTGTCATGGGCTATCAGAACACGTTACTTTGACCGGATATCAGTGAAAAAATTTTGGGCGTAAAGCGATTTTGATAAATGACAGGTGTTTGATCGAGTTCTGATAGAAGTGAGGATCGGGGTGTTCCGGCCCCTCCTGGGGGAAACGGCTTGGTGGGATGTTAGAACATGTTAAATAAACACGATTTGCACAAAAAATGTTTGGGCTTGAGCCATTTTTTTGAAATATAATTTTTTTAGTCAGAACGCCATGTAAACCCACAATAATCCTAAAAAAGTATATTCCGGACCCCGCTAGAGCAAACGACTATCATGGTCTATTAGAACACTTGAGTTTACGGGATATCAGTGAAAAAATTTTGAGCATAAAGCGATTTTGAAAAATGACAGGTGTTTGATCGAAGTGCGGATGAGGGTGTTCCGGACCCCCCTTGGAGAAACGGCTTGGTGGGATGTTAGAACATGTTAAATAAACACGATTGGCACAAAAAATTTTGGTCGTAAGCCAATTTTTTTTAAATATAGTTTTTTTAGTCAGAACGCCATGTACACCCACCCTAACCCTAAAAAAGTATGATTCGGACCCCGCTCGAGCAAACAACTATCATGAGCTATTAGAACACGTTAAGTTGACCAGATATCCGCGAAAAAATTTTGAGCGTTAGCCAATTTTTTTGAAACATAGTTTTTTTAGTCAGAACGCCATGTAAACCCACCCTAACCCTAAAAAAGTATATTCCGGACCCCGCTCGAGCGACCGACTGTCATGGGCTATCAGAACACGTTACTTTGACCGGATATCAGTGAAAAAATTTTGGGCGTAAAGCGATTTTGATAAATGACAGGTGTTTGATCGAGTTCTGATAGAAGTGAGGATCGGGGTGTTCCGGCCCCTCCTGGGGGAAACGGCTTGGTGGGATGTTAGAACATGTTAAATAAACACGATTTGCACAAAAAATGTTTGGGCTTGAGCCATTTTTTTGAAATATAATTTTTTTAGTCAGAACGCCATGTAAACCCACAATAATCCTAAAAAAGTATATTCCGGACCCCGCTAGAGCAAACGACTATCATGGTCTATTAGAACACTTGAGTTTACGGGATATCAGTGAAAAAATTTTGAGCATAAAGCGATTTTGAAAAATGACAGGTGTTTGATCGAAGTGCGGATGAGGGTGTTCCGGACCCCCCTTGGAGAAACGGCTTGGTGGGATGTTAGAACATGTTAAATAAACACGATTGGCACAAAAAAATTTTGGTCGTAAGCCAATTTTTTTTAAATATAGTTTTTTTAGTCAGAACGCCATGTACACCCACCCTAACCCTAAAAAAGTATGATTCGGACCCCGCTCGAGCAAACAACTATCATGAGCTATTAGAACACGTTAAGTTGACCAGATATCCGCGAAAAAATTTTGAGCGTTAGCCAATTTTTTTGAAACATAGTTTTTTTAGTCAGAACGCCATGTAAACCCACCCTAACCCTAAAAAAGTATATTCCGGACCCCGCTCGAGCGACCGACTGTCATGGGCTATCAGAACACGTTACTTTGACCGGATATCAGTGAAAAAATTTTGGGCGTAAAGCGATTTTGATAAATGACAGGTGTTTGATCGAGTTCTGATAGAAGTGAGGATCGGGGTGTTCCGGCCCCTCCTGGGGGAAACGGCTTGGTGGGATGTTAGAACATGTTAAATAAACACGATTTGCACAAAAAATGTTTGGGCTTGAGCCATTTTTTTGGAATATAATTTTTTTAGTCAGAACGCCATGTAACGCCACAATAATCCTAAAAAAGTATATTCCGGACCCCGCTAGAGCAAACGACTATCATGGTCTATTAGAACACTTGAGTTTACGGGATATCAGTGAAAAAATTTTGAGCATAAAGCGATTTTGAAAAATGACAGGTGTTTGATCGAAGTGCGGATGAGGGTGTTCCGGACCCCCCCTTGGAGAAACGGCTTGGTGGGATGTTAGGACATGTTAAATAAACACGATTGGCACAAAAAAATTTTGGTCGTAAGCCAATTTTTTTTAAATATAGTTTTTTTAGTCAGAACGCCATGTACACCCACCCTAACCCTAAAAAAGTATGATTCGGACCCCGCTCGAGCAAACAACTATCATGAGCTATTAGAACACGTTAAGTTGACCAGATATCCGCGAAAAAATTTTGAGCGTTAGCCAATTTTTTTGAAACATAGTGTTACGCCAATGGTCATTTGGCGCGCGCGCCACTGTGTACCAGCCACGACCACTGCGCAAGCGCTGCCTGACAGTTTTTGAATCCAGCCAATGGGGACGGAGACACCAGGAGATCGAAGCGCCGCGACCAACATTGAGGTGTCGAGCTGTCGAGATAGAACGCATCAACAGGTTGAAGAAATTTGTATTGTCACTCATTTACCAAATCAAATACAGTCCACTTTTGTAAACTCAAATAAACCTATCACCAGACTGGAACGGATGTGTCCTTGCCGCACATAACATTTGATCCTACGAGCCGGATCGAAGTCAGAAACTCCTGAAATCGCCCTGGCCGGCCTGAAGCACAGCGACCACGGGACCTACAACAAGCCGCCATCATTGGGAATCGCCATCGAAGATCGTCACACTCACACAAAAGGTTGGTGCGTTCCATATCTCAAATTCCTGTCGTTTTTCCTTGAGCTCACACATTGTCGCTTATAAATTCTCGTATTTCATATTGTTTCGTTATTTCTGGAGCACTCAAATTTTCGCATTTGTCGCTAACGTTAAATTGTGTCGTTACGGCTTGGTTACCTACCTGAATTTACCCTCATTCTCGTTCTCGCTCACTCACGCATAATGCCTAATGGTAATGCTAAAAAACTTGCATCCATAAAGGGTACTCTTACTCGATTTCATAATTATTTCGATACCATCAGTCAAAAATCTAATCCAGATATCACAGAACTGGAATGTAGACTAGCTTCTGTCGAATTGCTGTTAGACAATTTTAACAAAATTCAAGAAAAGATCGAAGATTCAGACGGAAATTTTGAGGAAAATTTTGAATCAGTTCATTCAGTAGCGCGTGCTGAATTTGAAAATGCCTTTTACGAAATTACATCAAAAACTAAGCAATTTTTGAACGATCATCGCCCATCGCTAGGAAACAATGCGGCTTTACATTCCCCTCCACAATTTGTACAGCCAGATTTGCAGGCTATCAAGCTTCCGGCCTTGAATATCCCACATTTTGATGGATCATACGATCAGTGGCTATTTTTCCGAGATACCTTTCGCTCTTTAATCCATAACAATGATGCCCTAAGCCCCATACAAAAGTTTCATTATCTGAGATTGTCACTAAAAGGTAGCGCCTCAGACACAATCAAGTCTCTCGAAATCTCAAATCAAAATTATAATGTAGCTTGGGACTTACTGGAGGAACGCTTCGAAAATAAGCAACTTTTAGTCAACAATCATATAAAAGCACTTTTTGACATACCTAACATCCAACGAGAAGGCTATGCTAACCTACGGGACTTAGTAGACAGCCTACAGAAACACTTGCGAGCTTTGGAGGTTTTGAAACTACCTGTCTCGCACTGGGACTCGATACTCATATACCTTATTTCCTCCAAGCTAGATAACGCTACTCGCCGCGAATGGGAAATGCGGAGCAAAACGCAAGAACTTCCTACCATGACGGAATTTTCAGAATTTCTAAAAAACAAGTGTCGAAATCTGGAATCTTTCGAAATGAACCATGATAAAGCGAGACAAAATCAATCGTTCAATAAGCACGTCAAGCCCAAGGCATTCGTAGCTACACACAACGAAAATACGTCATGCGCGTTTTGTAAAAGGGATCATTCAATCTATATGTGCCAAGAGTTTATTCGGTTACCCCCCACAGAGCGTTTTAATGAAACAAGGCGCCTCAATCTTTGTATCAACTGTCTGAGATTCGGACACAACGTGAATAATTGCAAGTCCATGTTCTGTAAATATTGCAGCAAGCCTCATCATACTTTACTGCACTTTCCTAGCAAACCTGAAGCTCGACGACACGACGCGCCTCCTTCGCCGCCTGCCGTTCGGCGTCAGTACAATGGGCGTCATAACGCAGCCGCCGTTGCCGCTGATGCGCCCACGCCATCCACAGCCACAGCTGAGCGCGGTGCCGCGAGCCAGCGCGGAGAACGCATTGCCTTCGAACGCGACGTTGCCGATGTGAACCGGCCAGCCAGAAATCTAGCGAGAAATAATAACATTGTTTCTTTATCTTCCAATCACTCTTATGCAAACAAATCGTCTCAGATCTTACTATCTACGGCTATTGTTGATGCTTCAGATGCATTTGGTAACACACATGAATGTAGAGTCTTACTAGACAGTGGATCTACTAATCATTTCATATCTCAAAATTTATGCGAGATCTTACAGTTGCAAAAATCCAAAATTAACCTTGATATATCTGGAATTGGTCAATCAGATACCAAGGTCTCACACAGAACATTTGTCAAAATCCGATCCAAATTTAGCGGTTTTCACATTACTTTATCGTGTTTGATTCTACCTTCTATCACTGGAAACGTGCCAGATGTTGGTTTTGACAAAAGCTCTCTAAGCTTACCGCATAATATTACTCTTGCAGACCCTAACTTCTTTAAAGCTAGCCATATCGATCTCCTTATAGGAGCAGACTTATTTTGGGATCTTATATCCATTGGGCAGATCAAGCTCGGACGCGATCAGCCAATCCTTCAAAAGACAAAATTAGGCTGGATAATATCAGGCCCTGTACCAGCCTCACCATGCCAACCTCGTGTCGTTTGTAACCTTAGCGTAGACCATTTAGACAAAACCCTAACAAGGTTTTGGGAAATAGAGGAGATTCCTAGCAAAAAATTTCTTTCTGAAGACGAAGAAATGTGCGAACAAAACTTCAAAGAAACAGTTCAACACATCGACGGCCATTTTGTAGTTGCCATCCCCTTGAAACTTCCCGAGTCAAGCCTCGGCGAATCTAAATCTCTAGCAGAAAAACGATTTGTTAATCTTGAACAGAAACTCGAACGAAATCTTACTTTGAAGTATCAATATCACGCATTCATCCCCGAATATATCGATCTCGGGCACATGTCATTGTGCCGAAATCAAGACAACACTGGGTTTTTCATGCCGCATCATTGTGTCATGAAAAATGATAGTACTACGACTAAACTAAGGGTAGTTTTTGACGGGTCCGCCAAGTCCACCTCGGGATATTCGGTCAACGACATTATGATGATCGGCCCTACTATCCAAAATGATCTTTTCTCGATCCTACTTCGTTTTCGGAAGCACAATATTGTTCTTGGTGCCGACATCGCCAAAATGTATCGGCAGGTACTGGTTCGAGAAGATCAGCGCCATCTGCAAAAGATTTTATGGCGGTTCGATCGGAACAAAGACTTGCAAGCATTTGAACTTAACACTGTCACGTACGGAACAGCCTCGGCGGCATTTCTTGCGATTCGTTCGCTACATGAAGTAGCTCGGATTCATAAGACAGCTTATCCTTCAACTTGTCGTGTAATTATTGAAGACTTCTACGTAGATGACCTTCTCACGGGCACAGAGACGGTGGATCAGGCTTTGACCTTGAAGGCAGAGCTTACAGATTTACTCGACCAACATGGTTTCCCTTTGAGAAAATGGTCCTCAAACCACAAAGATATTCTCGCAAGTTCTGAGACTATACAAATCGGTGCAGATCAGCAAAACAAAACTTTGGGCATATTTTGGAATGCGACGCTGGACCTTCTCACTTATTGTATAGCTGAGACTAGTGCCTCTCAAAAAATCACAAAGCGTCACATCTTATCATGTATAGCGCAAATCTTCGACCCATTAGGTCTCCTATCGCCTGTCACTATCACCTCCAAGCTAATAATGCAAGACTTGTGGAAACTCAAAGTTTCATGGGATGAAAGCATTCCCTCTCAGCTTTATACAACGTGGCTTGATTATAGATCAAAGCTCTCTGAATTGAACACTGTTCAATTTCCTAGACACGTGATATGTCACAATCCAATTTCTATCGAACTTCATGGATTTTCAGATGCTTCTGAAAAGGCATACGGAGCAGTTGTGTATATTCGATCCGTAGACTTTCAAGGAAATTGTCATACCAAGATTCTCTGTGCAAAAACTAGGGTAGCTCCACTTAAGCAGGTTACTATTCCCAGGCTCGAGCTATGCGCAGCTCTTCTCCTTGTCAAACTCGTATCAACTGTCAAAGAATCCATGAAGCTGAATTTCGATCAAATCTGTTACTGGTGTGACTCGAAAATTGTATTATGCTGGTTGAAATTATCACCTCATCTTCTTAAAATGTTTGTTGCGAACAGAGTTTCTCAAATTCATGCTTTATCTGATCATGTTTCCTGGAACTATATCCATACAAGTGATAACCCAGCAGATTTGTTGTCGCGCGGGATATCTCCGTCAGATTTTCTAACCTCCAATCTTTGGTTTCATGGTCCTATTTGGCTGTCACGGGAACAGTCGAATTGGCCCCATTTTAAAGATAGCCCAATAAACGATAGCTTTGATCTCCTTGAACGCAAGGAAAAGATCACTTCATTATTCTCGACAACAGAAAATCATCTCTCTTCTGTAATTATCAAGTTCTCTTCGTTCTCTAAGTTGCTTCGGGTGTTTGGCTATATCAGCAGGTTCAAACTCAAGACTCTGTCAAAGGAGCATCAGCTAACTGGCCCCTTGACACCTATTGAACTCGATAATGCTCTAACATACCTTATAAGGATAGTTCAAAGATCTTCTTTTCCTATCGATCTTCAACAGCTAACCCAGGACGGAAGAGTTTGCTCTAAAAGCAGTCTTCTTAGTTTATCCCCCTTTGTTGACTCGCATGGACTTATTCGTGTTGGCGGTCGTCTGCAAATATCTGATTATCCTTATGATAAAAAACATCCATACGTCCTACCCCAAATAATCATTTCTCCGTGATTATCGCTCGACATGAACATCAACGTTTAAAACACATCGGATGTCAAGGTCTTCTAGCATCTATCAGAGAAAAATTTTGGCCTATCGGCGGCAAAAGGCTTGTACGAAAGATTATTCGGGAATGTATCTCTTGTTTTCGCTTTAGCCTTAATCAAGAAAGATACTTGATGGGAAGTTTGCCGAAATCTCGAGTCACTCCTGGGCGACCATTCCTATCTGTAGGAATCGACTTTGCCGGTCCATTCACTATTAAGCTCAGCAAGACGCGTAACTCCAAGTTATCCAAGGCTTACATTGCTTTATTTGTTTGTCTCGCAGTTAAGGCAATTCACATTGAAATCGTTAGTGACCTCAAAACTGAATGTTTCCTCGTTGCTTTCAGAAGATTTACTTCTCGCAGAGGTTTTTGCTCTCACGTAATCTCAGACAATGGAACAACGTTCGTGGGTGCTAGTAAAGAACTAAAACAATTCATTTTACAGCGGACTGATGCCATTTCGGAAAAATTAGCCATTGATGGTATTAAATGGACATTCATACCACCTAGATCACCTCACTTTGGGGGGCTATGGGAAGCCGCAGTCAAAACGGTAAAGCATCATTTAAAACGATCTGTCGGTGAAACGCTATTAACTTTTGAAGAGTTCTATACGGTATTGACTCAAATTGAAGCATGTGTGAACTCTCTACCTCTTTACCCTTTATCAGACGACCCTCAGACCCTTCTCCTCTCACACCCGCACACTTCATCATCGGCGAATCATTAATGGCTACACCAGACAAAGATTGGTT